CACATTTAAAGTGAATGAAACATATAACAACATAAATATCTGAAAAGTTCAAACAAAACACAAAAGTCTTCATATAAAAACACTTATATATATATATATATATATATATATATATAGATAGATAGATAGATAGATAGATATTTTATATTCAAAATTCTTAATACAAAGTTAGCATGTATGTACTTGCAAAAAGACTAGGTACCAAAAACAGTATGAATTTTGTACTTATCTGTTTGGTTTGTCATGAGCCTGAAATGCATGCATCCTGTCTCTATAACTTCACAAAACAAAAAAGCAGTGAGATTGAATTCTCCACCCAATGATGTATTGTGCAAGTCTTGTCAGGTTACATGACTGTTTATTTTTATTCTTGTGAATATTTATAATTAATTTATTTGTTATTTTTGTTTTGGGTCAATGGGGAATAAATTTTTGTCTCTCACTACACATTATTCATAAAAAAGAAAAAGCCAATGCTCAATAACATCAACTATGAACACATCCACAATATGATGACCGTGTTTGGAAAATAAAATATTCCTATAACTCTATATGCAGACATAAAATGTTATACATTCAGTTAAAAGTAAAAATAAAATTATCCTTGATAAAGGCTAAAAGTATAGCTAAAAGTGTTTGGACAAGACAAAACATTTGGATAATTTCAATATAATTTATAATTTATGTCCAAAAAAGAAAAAAATTATAAAAACACAGTAAAAAATAAATAAAAAACATAACTGCAGTACCTTGTCAGTCATTTTTAATGAAACTTGTGTAAAATAGGGATTGGTTCAGAAATACACATATATGTATATATACACTAGTTGAATTATCTGTGCCTTGCTGTGTGTCACACATTTTTTGTAAGAAAATGATGATTGATTTTAAATCATTGTTATAATTTGTGGAGAAAATTGATGCATTTCCATATTACTCAATGATCTTGCTGATGTGACCTCCATCTTCTGGCTTTCTCCTTCTTTATTTTACATAGGAGTCATTACATTGTTCAAATTTAAATTTAATTTAAATCAAAGGGAAAAAATTTTCATCAGGGGTTTGTATCTCCTGGGTAACCCCTTTGAGTAAAATGAAATATACTTATCGAAGTACCCTGGGTAATGTAGTTTCAGAATATATATGGCTATGGGGCTCTATCTCCAAAAGCCTAGGAGGAGTTCAGTAACATACAATAACAAACAGACAGACAGATATATATTTAAATAGGATATAGAATCTGGACAAATTTTTAAGCAATTTTACAAATGGTAAACCATTTCATTGAAACTAGATTTGATTATGTGTTTCACCTTTCTTGGCTTCCTCTGATCAAAAGATGAAAGGAAAAAAATGGATGTGTGCATGCTTAAATAATGAATCAGTACTTTTTGCCTAAGCTTGCATTTCTCATGATCAAAAAAAAGGAAATGAGTGAGTTTTAAAAAAGATGTTAATATTTCTTTATAATTCAGAGTTCATAATATTCATTCAGTATATAAGATTCATTAGTATATAAGATTCATTAGTATATAAGATTCATTCAGTATATAAGATTCAGTGTTACACTTATTTTTGTCCTGATATTACTTGTATGCATCAAATATTATGAAAATTTTGCATCAAAATTCAACTTTTATTTGTCTTCTTATTCATCTGGTACACTTTCTCGAGGATTCCTCTATAAAACTTTCTGAATGTTGGTCTCATTGCAAATAAATCAATCCCTCACTGGACAATATCTGAAGTGATTGGAATTTTCAAGTCGCTTCCTGGATTTATTGATTGTAAGTGATCTGGTAACTTAGTAAGTTAGTGTTACTATTGTTGCCAAATGTCCCTTTTGCCTGAAACTGTTCTCTGGAGAAATTAACAAATGGTGAAAAAGTCAGGATTCTGGGAGAAATGTCTCAGATACTGCAGAATGCAACAAACAAACAAAAAGAATTGTCTTGAAGTGATAGTTGCTGGTTATTTCTTGGTCTGTGAGGATATAAAAGTTATGGTTCAATTCCTGAAATCTTCATACCTTTTTTGTGCCTAATAAAATGAGGGATGCTTGTTTCTTCTGTGGAAATTTTTGACTGTCCCGAGCATATTAAAACACTTTAAATAAATTTCCACCTCCATTTTTACTAAAACTCTTTCATTTATTTCATATTGAGAAACATTCTAATCCTTTCTCTATTATTAACTCCTATCCTTGTATTAGATACTTAAGAGGTTTTCTTTTAATCATTTCATGCCAAACAAGGTAATAAAGTCACTAAAAGATGAAAAATGGTTATTGAGAATAAAAGATAATAGAATGAAGGAAACTGAGAAAAGATTATTGAAAGGACAATAAAAAGAACAAGATTCAAGGAGACAGAAGTTGACAATCGGTGTTGCATTTACATTTTTGAATATTGTAGTGTGCTGGGTAGTTACCTTGGAAGTCTAAGAGGGCTAGAGTAACATAACCTGAATTTGTGTATAGGACGAGCTAATTGCTAGTGAGGCAAACCATCCAATCATTGGCGCTGGAATGACGGGGCATATGTGTCATTGAGTCAGATCAAGGCTGGCAGTGTGCTCAATATGCAAATTCTCTGGCTTGGCAAGAACGTATAAAAAAGTGAGTGTTTGTTGAGATGTCACAAGTCTTTGCACTCAACACAGGTCACATTATTGCTTACTGAACCAGAATCCATTGCAAGTGTGTTTCCAGTGTCTGTGCTACAGAATCTCAGGTTTCCTGCTATATATAGTTAACCTGGGAAGCAAAAAGCTAGAAAAGAGTTCTATAGGAGAGAAGTGTGAAACTGTTAGAATAGAACTTATGCTTACATCTAGCATTGAGACCTAGCTGTAAACCTAGTATGATGTTTAAATTCTTGAAGTCAAGTTACCAAAGACAAAATCTCATCAGAACAATTGCCATGAAAATATTTATGGGAAATTTTGAAACTGAGAATAATGCATATTCTTCTTTGGTTTTTATCCAGAATCTCTAAATACAGAGTGGAAGCACCAAACCAGTAATATTCTGTCACTTCAAGTTTCTCCATCTTTATTTTTTAATCATTTCACTCCAAGTAAGGTGATAAATCCACTGAGATGAAATTGGTTACTGAAGATGAAAGATAATGGAGTGGAGAAAAAACTGAGAAAATATTACTGAAGAGAAATGACAATAAAAAGAACAGATTCAAGGATGATGATTGATGTTGCATTTAAATTTCTTTTGACAGGAAAGTAGGAAGCTAGAAGAGAGTTCTATAGGCAAGAGGTGAAAGAGAAGAAACTACTAGAATAGAACTTACAGTTACATTTAGTAATTTCAAGTGTAAAATGATGAGACCTAACTGCCAATCAAGTACTGCACTTAAATTCATGAAATTTAGGTATTAAAGATGTGAAATCAAGAAGACACAATTAGTTGCACGCTTGGAGCTTTTTTTTTTTACTGTCATGTTCACCATTTACAAGGCCCAGATGCCACTCGAGGTACAGGGTTATGTTAGGAGGCAATTTGTGCAGATAAGAGGGGAAGATAATGGTTGACTCAAGACATGGACAGGTTAAGAGTGTAGTGATCAGGAAAGCATTCTCTTGGGAGTCAGTTCCACAGGGCAGTGGTTTGCAGTGGAAGTTGTTTGAGTGGAACTTACTTCTCACTGATGGAATGCATAGGGAATGTTGGTCGTTTGCTTCTATGTAAGTGGCATGGCATGTCTTTGCTATGAAGGTTTGATCTGGCATGACCAGAGAATGTAGTTCATCTGAGCACTTTCCATGGAAGTAGTGAGAATGCAGCAAGAGGCTTGCCACATCCCACCTGTTGGAAAGAGAATGGAGGGTGGAGAATAATTTGCCACCCACAAGGCCTTGTAGATGCTTTTGAACTCTATCAAGGTTGGAGATCAAGGTCTAAGTAGCTCCCACTCAAATATGACAAAAGTACTCCATTTTGAGCCTGACCTGGCTTTTGTAAATGTAAATGATAGCAGAGCATCAGCTGATGTTGATGGAAGGCATATATGAGCTCAGTATGACAAGTCAACAAAACTAATGAATGCTCTTGACTCCAATAATACACTTGAAGCCAGGAAAATGGTAATGATAAGATTAGCCGTTTCCATCCAGGAAACAATAGCGATTCAGGGTTAAGTAGAAGGAAGAAGAAAACTCATATAAAATATTTAAAAAATTTTTATTTCTAATTATTTTAAAGATTTATTTAATTTTTAACTCATTTTTATAATAATGTTTTTTTTTAATTGGAAAGATTTTAACAGTTATGCTCAAAATGGGTATTGGAAGGTAAAACACAAAGCATTCAGAGATTTTCTTTTAAACAATAAGGAATGATTGCTCTTAATGAATATTTAATTTTTAGTTTTAAAATCTTTTACTTTTTTAGATTTTAAATTTGTTTGAAAGAATTAATTTTTTAAAGAATTTCACTACTTTTATTCATTTAACTATTGTCTTTACCTCCTCTTTATCGAAACTTTTCATATCGCAAACTTTTACTTACACTCACTAAGTATAGTTTCAGATCTTATTTTCTTTTTTATGTTTCCTTCAAATCTGGAACCATACTTGAAGTAAGAAGGTTGTTTCAAAGCCAGAAGGCACCAAACATCTGCCATGAAATTTAAACAAAAAATAAAATAATAAGTAAAAACCTATTTAAATAACTGACAAGTTCTTGAAAGATGTCACCACATAATCTTCTGAAAATTGGATTAGCAATTCAAAATTTGTAACAATTTCTCTTGTGGGAAGACTAAATTATACTCGGTTGTCTTATCAGCTTATTATTTCAATGGCTTCTTGCTTGCTGCTAACTTTCTTTTCTTAGGATGCTGGATGTTGGCTGGTCTTTGTATGATGGTTGTTCATCATTGACTTTGTTGGTCGTTTCTTCCATAGTTGATGAGGTTATTTATTGGTGTGCAACAGGTTACAGTGGGGTGATTTTATGAGGAGGTCAAAGAGGATTGTTTATCATTTCAATGGCTGCTTTTCATTTCACTGAAGCATCTGCTTTTGTTGCATAAAGATATGAGATTATTGCTTTCAGAGATAAAGAGAATAAAAAGAGAAAGGGAAGAAAAGCAAGGAGGAGAAAATGATAAATAGAGAGACGTCATAAGAGAGAAGGATGAAAGGCATGAGAATGCAAAGGAAATAGAGGAGGGAGAAGAAGAAGGAAAAGGAGAAGAAAAGTGAGAAAGAGAAAGAAAGATGAACGAAAAATGAACGAAAAATGAATGGTGGCAAAGAGGAAAGAGAAATAAAGAAAAGTATGTGTGTGTGTGAGGGAGAGAGAGAAATGATGAGAGAGAAATGAATGAAATAAGAAGGGAGATGTGAGAACAAAAGATGCAGAGTGAGAAAGAGAGAGAAATGATGAGAGAAGGATAAAGGAAATAAGAAGGGGGAGATGTGGAAGGAAAAGAAAGATGAAGAATTAGAAGTAGAGAGAAAGGCTGAGAGAGAGATGAAGAAAATGCAGAGGAAGAAGTAGAAAGAGATGAAGAGTGAGAAAGAGAAAAAATGAGAAAGAGATGAAAGTAATAAGAAGGGTGGAGAAGAGGAAATAGAAATGAAAAGTAACAATGGATGAGAAAAAGAAATGAGAAGAAGAAAGATGCTGAGTGAGAATGGATGAGAGAAAGATAAAGAAATAAATAAGAGGAGAACAGTGAAATGGAGATTGAGAAAGAAAGAAATCGAAAATCGGAGAGAAAGAGTAATGTGGGAAAGAGAAATATGAAGAAAAAAGAAAGTAAAAGAAATAGAGAAAGTAGGTAGGAGAACGATTAGAGAAAGATGAAAAGGTAAAGAAGATAGAGAGAAGAGGAGGAAAACATGAAAGGAAAAAGAAGGATTTTAAAAGGTTAAAGGAAGAGAGAATAAGAAAAAGAGAAGGACAGAATGAAAGAAAAGTGAAGGAAATTAGACAGCAAAGAAAACAGAGGAGAAACGAAAGAGAGAAAGAGTAAGAAGGAGGAAATGAAATAGAAAAAACAATGAAAGAAAAATGAAGAATATTATAAAGCAAAGGTAAAAGGGGAAGAAATGGAGGGTTTAAAAGAGAAAGCATGAGAGGCAAATGAAGGAAAGATTAAAGAAATTGAGAAAGGAGAAAATAAAGAAGAGAAATGGAGAATAAATGAAAGAAAGAAAAAAAGAATGTGAAAGAAATGAAGGAAATTACAAAGCAAAGAAAACAGGTGGAGCAAAAGAGAAAGACAGTACCCAATGAAGTGCAACTTAAGTCTTGTGATAAATGAAACCATCATCGTCTCTTATTTCTTTAAATACAATAAGCACTTCCATAATTCAAGACAGTTTAATAAGGGAAATGATTCATGAAGCTCTTCACTACGTATACACACAGCAGTGTGTATTGAAGCAATAGCTGTCATGACTGTCTTATCTTGTTCATTATAATGACACCTAATTTTAAATAATTTATTATGAAAAATCACAGATAGAAAACTACAGGACCTCCTCAACAAGTTAGTAAAATAAAGTGGGACAAAAAAAAGAACCATCTGTTTTGTGAAGATGAAATGTATGGTTGTTAGCAGAGAACCCTTTTTACCTTCCATCAGCATGGCTGATGCTAACCTCCATGAGAGTGGCTCATTGTGCCTTCTTAGGCAAATGTAACAAATATTACTGGACAGCTGGTGTAATATTTATTAGTAATATTTATTCGTAAGTGTTGTCATTAATCATGAGAAAACTATGTAAATGTAGCAAATATATAGGACAGTGGTTTATTTATTAACAAGTATTACCAATAATCAAAAGAAAAATACCAAATATTATAGGACAGTAGTAGTAGTAGTAAGCATCCATTTATCTCACAGGACATTGGTAGCACCCGGTTTGGTCAAAATTTGATCCTTCTGTGAAAGTGTTTGGCTTGGCCTAACAGTCCAATCTTTGCATGGCAGTCTCTTCTGCAGGTCTGGCAGACAAGGCTGTATTGTGGAATGAAAATCTGAGATTGCTCTCATTCTGCTTCTTGCATTGTCTTCTGATCTCTGAGGGTTCATTTTGTTTTTTCCCGCCTTTCATGTCTCCTACTTGAACAACATGATGCCAGCCACTGCGATCATCTGCTAGCTGTTCCCAGTTACCAGTGTTAACACCTGTCATTTTCAGATCCCTCTCACAAATGTCCTTGAAACATAGGGCAAGGTAGCCTACCAGATGGTGCCCAGTGGCTTACTCACTGTACATGTCTTTTGAGAGATCAACAATGGAGTTGTATAATGACATCTGTTGTTCATGACATTTCTCCAGCAGCTGACACAAAGAGATGGTCACGTCCACTGGTGATCTCTTAGACTTTTCCAACAAGGCTAGATACCCAGGTAGTTACTGATATCACTGCGGTTGACCTTGTATTTATACAGGGTAAATATCTTGATTGATTGATTTTCTTTTTGTAAGTTATTTAAAGCCAGCAAATATTTTGAGACTGAAAGAATTTTTTGAAGATAATAATTATTTCCTGATACAAATCCTACTGATTAACTCATAGAATGGGGGGATAGAGATGAATCCATAACTTTCCTAGGAACATTTGCACATTAGTGAATATAATGAAACTAACAGGAATTGAAACTCAGTTCTTGGATTCAAAATTCTGAGCCATTATTTATTATCACACTGCCCATCCACCCATGATTACAGCACCTGGAAGTCCTAAGATGTCACCCATCTATGTACTGAACAGGCTTAATTTTGGTTATCTTCTGCGAACCGGTGATTCAATATGATATAACTGTAAGCCATAATTATCTTGGCATTGTGCATGTCCTGAAGAACCTTGCTTTCTCTCTAGCAGAGGCTTAGGAAACTATAGCATTCAGAGATAATGGTAATAATATTTATGAATAAGTGTTGCCAACATTAACAAAAAAATTATGCAAAACTATTAACTATTATGGGATGGTTTTAGTAATATTCATTAATAAGTGTTTTTCATTAATAAAAAAAAATGTGCAAATGCAGTATCACTGGATTAGTAGTTTTCAGCTTAACAAGCAGATTAACTTGGGGATTAACCAAAAGTACATTTGTAGGAGGAGTGGAGCCTTCAAGATAGATTTATGAAATATTTGATCAATTCCTGAAATCATTTAAGAAACTCATCCGCTTCCATCTTCCATGTTTATCTAATCTCTCTCGTATAATCTTGTCCAAACTCATGTCTGTCTGTTTTCCAAGTCCTACCTAAGAGCTGGCATATTGTCACTTAAATTTCATTAAAATAGTTGATAATTTTAAATAAACGACTTAGACATTGGAGAGTTTGTGAGAGAAAAGTTTCTTGAATGACCACATCTGCTCTGTGTCCAGTCATTTGCTTTTCACCCAATAAATCAATAAGGAGATTAATTTGTTGATTTAACGGACTCAGAGTTTTGCTAATCTCATACAATAAGATCATCATCACCATCGTCATTATGATCATCATCAAGAAAAAGAAAAGATATTGTAAATTGATCTGTGCTAAGGCTTATGCAGGTTCACACCCTAATCTATTTGATTAAAAATATTTTGACTGAATAGACACAGCTGAGGGATTTAATAATCTTACTGCAAATCAGTTTTTTTTCTGAAGCTGTCATAAAAACCTGAATTTGATCATTTCAAGATGATCCTCTGTTCTGACCAGCTTCTGTCAAATTATGCAAAATATTCTCAAGAAATCCTTTAATCAAACAAAATCAGGAATTCATTGGCAGATCAAATCAGTTTTCTTTGATTTTTTTTACTAAAGTTTACCCAATACAATGCACGGAAGCCACCCAAGATAGAGGTTTATTGAATGACATGTGTGATATGGTGATTTTCTAAGTATAGCTTAGATGTGACACAAAGCCGAAAGTTTGAGGCACCCACTTGGGGTTCAAACTCACTATTCAATTGTAATTGATCTAGCAACATAAGCTTGCTAACCATTATAACATATCGAGGTGCCTATGAAGTATGTGATATGAATGTAAGATAAGGTGGTAGGAAGTGAAGGATAAGGAGAATAAATAACAACTGACTCTTGATTTTAAGTGGTTAAGACTTTATAAGGTTACTGTTACTATTATTAATATTAGCTTTAGCTCTTGATATTGAGCATTATAATAATAAATAATGCTTGTCTTAAAAGAATTATCATAATAAATTAATAAATTATTAAAAGCATTATAATAATAAAGCAATGTAGTAATAAAGCATAATAATAATAATAATGCTTTATAATAATAATAATCCATTATAATGATAAAGCATTATAATAATAATAATAATAATAAAGTATTAGAATAATAACTCTTTATAATAATTATAAAGCATTATAATACTAATAAAGTATTAAAATAATAATGAAGCATTATAATAATGATGCATTATAATAATAAAGAATTATAATAATAATAAAGTATTATAATAATAAATCATTATAATAATGACACATTATAATAATAAAGCATATTAATAATAATAAAGTATTATAATAATAAAAAAGCTTGAAAATAATAAAGTGTTATGATAATGACACATTAAAATAATAAATAATTATAATAAGAAAGCATTATAATAATAATGCATATTAATAATACTAAAGCATTATAAAAATAAAGCATTATGATAATAAGCATCATGGGAAAATTTCTTTTTTTATTCATTATTATTATTTTATTTATTGATTTTATTTCATCTTCCCACACTACACTATCTTCACTTATACTTGGTCTTATGATGGACAGAACCTGTTTCTTGAAACATTTTTATCCACTTGGATATGGAATTATTTGATGAGTTCTGAATCTTCTTTGGACAGCAGTGACAGATTTTAGCTCAGTCAACCAAAATTTACTTTCTCTTTTCATGAAGCCTTGTATTCAGTAACAATTCAGTGAGGTGGGAGTCATTTTGAAGTTTCAAAGTAGAAAGAATTATAATTAAAAAGAACAATAATTCATTTTTTCAAATAACAAGAAAAAATAGACAAATCAAAGCTTGAACATAATAGAATTAATTATTTAAAAAGGATAAGAAAAAAGAAATTTAGATTTATTGTTGTGTTGTGAAACAGATGCTACACTTTCTTCACTAACACTTGGTCTGCCAGACTGTGGTTATTATTGGCAGAACCTGTTTCGTGAAACATTTTTATCCACTTGGATATGGAATTCTTGTGTGGTGTTTCTTTATTGTAATAAGTTCTGAATATCCATTTGATAGCAACAGATTTTAACTTGGCCAAAGAATACAGTATGTGTCTATATTTCTGAGATGAGGTATTATGTACATTATTTAGATTATTCGGACTATTGTCCTCATCTTTGTTGCCATATTTATTACAACGTTTCGACACTTCAGTATCTGTCTATATTTCTGAGATGAGGTATCATGTATACTATTTACATTATTTGGACTAGTGTCCTCATCTTTGTTGCCATATTTATTACAAGGTTTCGGCCCTTCAGTATCTGTCTTTATTTCTGAGATGAGGTATTATGTACGCTATTTACATTATTCGGACTATTGTCCTCATCTTTGTCCCCATATTTATCCGATCCTTCAGTATCTGTCTATATTTCTGAGATGAGGTATTATGTACACTATTTATATTATTCAGACTATTGTCCTCATCTTTGTCCTATATATATATATATATATATATATATATATATATATTAATGTCATATCAAGTAATAGTTTTGTAACTGTACATGATAGAATTAATCTGTAAAAAAGGATAAGGAAAAAGAAATTTAGATTTATTGCTGTGTTATGAAACAGGTACTACACTTTCATCACTAACACTTGGTCTGCCACTGCAGCTTATCATTGGCAGAACCTGTTTCTTGAAACTTTTTATCCACTTGGATATGAAATTCTTGTGTAGTGCTTCATTTTAATGAGTTCTAAACCTTCTTTGGACAGCAGTGACAGTTAATCAAAGAACACAGATTACACTCTCTTCAAGAGAAGACATGGGTTAATAGCAACTCTGACAAAAAAGACAATAAACAGTCATATTGAAATTTCAGGAAAATGATAAAGTATAATAGGGCAAAA